CTAGCGCCCGCACCTCCCGAACCGCCGAGGGCGCCTCCTGTTTGGACGCCCGGAATGGATACGGAAAAAAATGGGCACCGGTCTAAAACCGACCGCTGACGCTGTTGGGCACGCGGCCTTCTGTTTCTAGTGGACACCGTCCGCGACGGCACCGACAGCGAACCCTGTTCAAAATCGGAAGAAACTTCTGTCGGTGTTCGTACCATCCTTCGGCTACACGCAGGTGCGACCCTGGATACGAGTGACCTTTGGTGCGCGGCTTCTTTGGGGCCGCGGGGGGACCAAACACAAGCGCGCAACACGCTACGATCGCAGCGCGCCTGGCTATCGGGGGACCCCTGTGGGCCCGCACCACAGGTCACTCCGACGAAGGGTCACGGTCACTCTTTCCAGACCCCCGACGTCATTATTTTTTCATGACGCGACCCCCAGAGGTCCGGACCCATTCCCCGGGACCGGTTTTCCATCCCGAGTCGTTTTTTGACGGTCCTGAAGGCCAGTAAGGGCCCCCCGGAGGCCGAAAATAGCGAAAACCAGTCCGACGTGATTTTTTTATGACTCGAGGGGGTCTGGGTTACGAGCAGTCGAACTCCATCCGTAACCTGTTCGATCGTACCGATCCTTGTGAAGGGGCCCTGGGACACACCAATAAATACACACAAATAAAAAGGATTCCCCATATTTTCCTATACTTTCTGGGTTTTTGTCTTCCCCCCCACTTCCCATATTTTCCTACATTTTCCTGGGGGTCGACGATTTATTGTGTCTGTGTGTTTTTTCCCTCCTGACCTTGGCCAGCCCCCCCGAGCTGATCGCCGCCCGCCGGGCCTCTGCGGAAGACCCACGAGTCCCTTCTGAGCTCCTTGGGCGTCGGAGCCCGTGCGGCCGCCGAGGGGGGCTCAGGGTCGCGCCCACTGGGCGGCCGAACGGGCCAAGTTCCCTCCACTCTCGGGGCTGAGCGACGGAGCCCGTTCGGCTGGGGAGGGGGGGAGGGGGAGGAGGGAGGGGAGGGGGGGGAGGAGGAGGAGGGGGAGGAGGAGGAGGATAAGGAGGAGGATGAGGAGGAGGAGGAGGGTCCACTCGGCGGCCGAACGAGCTCACACGCCAGGCGGGCTCAGAAGGGTGCTCGGCACCCTGGGGCAGAAGCAGCTCGCCATCGCTCGGACGGCCGCTCCCCGTGCATGCTTCGGTGTCGTGTGCGTCTCTGCTCGCAAGGTGATCCAAGATGCTCATCGGTGGTCCTCGCCGAAAAAATGCACACGTCCTTCATCGGTGGTCCTCGCCGAGACAGATAGACACGTCCTTCATCGATGGTCCTCGCCGAAGCATATGCGCACGTCCGAGCGATGCCAAGGCAACGGCGTGAGCAGAACCCCTTGGAGGTCCGCGCGGAACTCCTGTGGGTCGGCGCTGGCCTTCCCTTTTGGTGCGCGGAGCGCGCCAGGGGCGCTTCCAGGGAGGGGGGGGCAGCGCCGACCCAAGACGTCGGAGCGGGCCTCTGAGAGTCTACAGCCATCGTGCTACCATAAGGAACGCAGAAGAAGGAACGAAGAGCTCGTCTTAGACGAGCGCGCTCCACCACTCGCATAGTAGGTACTCGCACATGGCCTGGGTACGCCCCGGGGGATCGACGATCCTCTAACGAAGAAGCGAGCATTCGTCTTTTTGTCTCACGCTTGCGAGCACGTATGCACTTTGCGCGTAGTGTTAGGTCGGGCATGTCCCCCTACAGGCGGATTTTGGGCGAAAAATGAAAAAGTACCCCAAAACTACTCCAAAACATATCTCAAAATGGTAGAACAATCGCCCCCTGACGACTTTTTGACCAGTTTTGGATTTTCCTCCTGTAGAGGGACACGCCCAACTTAAGCGCAAGTGGAGCGCGCTCGGCGATTTCCCTGGCCACGGCGAGCATCGCCCGCGAAGAAAGCTCCCCCGACCCCGTGACCCGAGGAGCGCCCACGCAGAGGGAGAGCCCCTCCTGCGCCGCCGGGAGCGGCTCGAAGGCTTCGGCGCTGTGACTGTCGACGTTTGGAGGATGGGCCTGCTTTCCACCACCACCGTAAGTTGGAGGGGGGAAGGAGGTGGAGGAGGAGGCGGAGGAGGAGGAGGACGAGGAGGAGGAGGTGGAGGGGGAGGAAGAGGACTCCCTCCCCCTCCAACTTGTGGTGGTGGTGGTGGTGGTGGAAAGCAGGCCCATCATTGGAGGCCCGTGCAGATCTCCTCAGTCGGTGCTGGGTTTCGGCGGCGAGCCCCGGGGGGAAGCGAGAATAGACGAGCGCGCTCCACTACTCGCAAAGTGACTAGTCGCAAATGGCCTGGATCCGCCGCGGGGGATCTACGGTAAATTTCGTCGAAGCAAAGATCTGTGTTTCGGACGTTTGCGAGTAGTGGAAAGCGCTCGGCGAGAGAAGGGGCGGGCCTCCTCAGAAGGCTCGGAAGGCCTCCAGCCTTCGGAGAATTGTTCCGAGCCCTCCCCGGAGACACAGAAGACCTCTCA